CCTCCACTAATGATGAAGCAGTACTGTCTCCCCATAGAGCAGGAATATTTCCTTTTCTCCTTGTCCTTTGGTTTATATAGGAATACAAGCGTTTAGGACATTCTATGGATTCCTTAACAAGTTTTCCTTCGTACAATTTTCTAGACTTACGGAGGGTCGAGGCACAAGTATTCCGAGCCTTTCGATACTGTTATGGATGCTGAGGAAAAATATACCAATAATTATCGTGTTAAGTCTATGGTGGCCTTGGACCTTAAATGTACATTTCCTATTGGTCGATGTTTATTTCACTTGTTATTGTGTAAATGTTGTTCTCTACTTTATGGTACGATGTGGTTTGTTTGGTTAGTATATAAATAGAGTATGTCTGAAATACAATGATTCATAACTCGGAGGCTGTGGCTTGTGTTCTTGACTCAACTGGCTGGGCTAGACAGCGAAGCAGGGCCAATCAGGGCACTAGGTCGCTCACTACGTGTCCACTGTAATCGATCGATAAATACGCTGCTTATCAAAAACCTGCAGTCACCCGTTACAACAGATACTGAGATTTTGACTCGTCAGTCCCCAGTAAACTAAATCTATCCCACATTTTCCTTTTCTTACGGAGAACGAAACGGACCTCCCTACTGAACCATGGTGGTGAGTTTTTCGGCCCTCTTGGTATAGTCCAAGGGATGTGAGGTGTGGTAACTTTTAAGTATGAATTTCGAAATGCGTCCCAGGCCGTTTCAATGCAGGACTCTGGGTCTACTGTCCAATCTATTAACGATGCTGAGTGCATGATGTCTGGTATGTTTGCTTTCCAGACGTTGGGTCTGGACTGGACTGACGCGTCCTCGTGACTGGCAGTTATATGGAAGTCGAAAGTTAAAACTGCGTGGTCACTTTTACCTAGGGGTGGCATATGATGGGGGTTCGCAACATCATCCTCATAGTGAGTCAGTATAAGATCAAATAAGGATGATTCAGTGTCCGGATCGTACCTAGTCGCTTCTTTCACATGTTGCACTAGAGCAAATGTGATAACCCCATCAACTAGTTCCTGCTCGAAAGAATTCTCCGACGATGTAGTTCGCAGATTTTCCCAGTCTACCATAGGTGCATTGAAGTCCCCTAGGATTAGACATCGACCACTTTGGGACCAAGTATTGAGACTGCTTAACAGGATCTCATTTGCCTCACAGCTTGGACTGCGATAGACCGAACCAATCAGCAGCTCTTGTCCCTTGCATTTTAAGCGAAGACTAACTAATTCACACGTCCCACTCTCATGGGATGCACTATCGATAATGGCAAATGGGATAGCATCCCTAATAAATAGAGCTACTCCCCCTCCTTTGCACTTTTGTGTTCTATCGGCCCTTACTAACGTAAAACCCTCGAAATCAAGTTCCATACTATCTATAGCCTGTGTCAACCAGGTTTCTGTCACTGCGATTATGTCTGGCCTTGTAGAGTCAATCTGTACACCTAGTTCCGATCGCTTATTAAGTAAGCTCCAGGCATTAGTGTAGCAGATCAGAAGCCTATTTAAGTGGTTTCGTGCTTCACCCAGAGTGGCTTCGGCATCATTCTCTGTCGAAGTCTTACAACCCAAAATTTACAATTTTCAGGTCCTTTTCACCAGCGTCTAACCTAAGTTGTAGTTCTTTCTCGGCTTCCCGTCTTTTAACACGGTCTGCCAACGGTAGGTTCTTTCGTATAAAGACTCCTGAACCCTTTAATTTGTGTCCATTCTGTAAAATTAGGTCACGTTCGTTCTAAGAGCTGAATACTACTTTAAACAGTCTGGAATGATTCGGTTTCGAGTCCGCTAGACTCCCTAGTCTGTACGCCTTTAGCAAGGTGACCCCAGTCATATTTTGAGGCATGAGTTGATTAAGCAGCTGCCTAATCAGTACAATGTCATGCTCAAAACGAGCTTAAGGTTCAGAGCTCTCGCTCTCCTTGATTCTATGAAAAATAGTTGATCTGTCGCTATGATCAGCTTTCGATTTTTCAACTACTTTTATGGGGGCAGGGTGCCCTTTTATATCCCTACTTTTCTTCCTTACAACCTGTACCCATTCGTCAACGGTGCTGGTAGAAGCAATAACAGTTGTGTCGAACCTAGTGTTGGATTTTGGGGGGGGGTTATCGACTACCTGAGAGGTCAGGTTATGTTTATCGCTTGAAACCGATCGAGCCTTGCGATTGCGGCTTCTAGGTGTTTCCTGTTGGATCTCATCTGGGAGACGGGGAACAGAAGACTCTACTTTTCTTGAGCTTTCGTTTAAGGCGGGTCCCTTTGGAGACTGCTTTTCCTTCTTTGATGGGCTTGAGTCATCTATCATCGAACTAACCTTAGTTTCCTTCACGTTGATTTGCGTGTCCACGGATCGAGTGCTGTTTGACGCGTTCCGACTATGCTTGCTAAAACACTTCTTTGCAGCATCAACCAGTGAGATGGCCTCGGTTAACAAGCTGTTTGCATCCGAGCAGCACTGTTGACAAAGCCATACACAACCCTTCTTACTGAACCGTTTGAAAGCAGCAGGTGTTAAGTTCGTGCAAACTTCGTGGTACCAGCCTTTGCACTCGTCGCATTGCATGCCGCTTTCAACAGGATAACGACAACCCGGACGTTGGCAATTGCTTTTTTTACACTGTCCGGTCATTTAGAAGGGGTTCTTTTTCAGGATGCGATGATACTCAGAAACAAAAAAATAATCAATGACCAAAAAAGTGAAGAGCTGTAGATTGCTAGGACCAAAAGTACTAACAGATACAGTTGAAAAAGAGGTATTCAAGAGTACCAACGACAAAACTAATTGAGAGAACAGTAAAAACGATACTCTAGTCGAATACTTTGACTGAAATAAATTCAATTAAAGTGAAAACAGTAGTCTTGATACGTAATAAACGATCAAAACAAAGAAATTTACTCAGCGAGGAAAAATACCACTGCCCTTTTTAAATAGCGCGCGTTAGTGCAGTCGAGTGGCTAAACTAACAGCCATTGGAAATTACCGAATACATGGAACGGTATTGAAACAACAGGAAGCGAGTGTAAAGAAATCAATTGGTTTTTACAAGCTCGTGACAAAGATACTGGAGAATACTTTACCGCTGGAACAAGCGCAATTTTCGTAACTAGCGTAACTTAGATATATGCAAGGTATTGGATGCATAACTTTCCATAGTTGAACATTGCAACCTCTCAAGGATATATCTGGAGTAAATAAGTATTTTTTTATTTTCGGAGGCTTTACGATGAAACCATAATTTATGGATAACTTTTGAACGACATTAATGTGGCCTTGAGAATGTCCACCTACTGATTAGGGATAAAGAGGATTTTAAACCTGTGTGAAGGATAAGGATTGTGATTTATGGTTAACGGTTATGGATAGAGATTAGATTCAAGGTTTCCATCACGAACTGGCACTAGCTAAAGTGCCAAGACGCTATTTAGCCAAAAGGATAAAGAATTCCGCGCGGAAATCGCAAGTCTGATTGGTTCGTCTATAAATCATAGTCTCGTCGCACACAATCTCCCTTCTACGTTTCTCGAAAAGATAGATGAAACTGGTTTCATGTAGGGGCTGTGAGCACTGAAAAAGTTGTGTTTCCTTTTAAATTGTTCATTTGGTTCATTTCCAAACTTTTCAAAGTACGTTGAATATCCCGTAGATTATGTATTGGCTATTATCATCAGGCCTTGTGCCAGTTTTCTCGTATCTGCCTTTAATATATACTGCGTCTATCGAAATAATGATGTAGAATACAACCGGAAACTTGTCGAAAGTGCGTTTCATTATGTAGAGGAAGAGATTAGTTATCTTCCTTTATCTAAGGCATCCCCTAGACATACCTTTACCGAACATTTTGACTTCGTTGGTGTCCGTAGGTTATGATTTAGAGTTAGTAGCATTGAACTGAGGAATCTAGCATAAAAAGCAAGAATCCTAGCGAACAATGTTTTTCATATAAGCATTAGAGAAGTTAATAAGTTTGCTAATTTTCGTTTTATGATAGAGTTATCATCTTACCAGGCATCTCAACTTTTTGAAACACACTGAATAAGTAAGGTTTCACATACTCGGCTTTGGGCTGTGTTTAGTGTAGAAACCTGTGATAACATACAGATGTTGAAGCTGGATCTAAACTACGGTCTACGATGCAAACTTTAAACGACTGAGATAGCTGTCTTTCCAAACCAACTCACTGACAGACGTCGCTTTTTCGGAAAAACGTCACCCAGATTCATCCTTAGTATAATCCATCTGTTATTAATCGTGACATTAATAAACATTGCTAGCAAGTCACTTTATCGTAAACTGTTAATTAAAAATAAGTTCAACTGAGTAGGAAATTGACATTGGGTTGTTTTTAGGAACCTGTGTTTTCCCGAATATGACTTACCTCATTGTTGTTTGTTTACTCTGAAATTGATTTAACATACAACAAATGTTTCAGGAATGCTATTAGTTCATTAACGATAGGCCTGAATTTTTATAAATTACCATGTTATATACACCTTGGCATCTCAAGCTACGCTGAAGACCAGCCAAATGTAAATCCAAATAAAACAGTTAAAGCCGATTTTCATAACTTAGATTATAGGATTTAAAATAGTTCATTAAAAAGTACATCGCTAAAACTACGAGGATATAACTTTATCATCCCGAAGTGCGTTCTTAAGAAATCATAACGTGAAATTTCATTCTATGGAGAATCGGCTTATACCAACTTCTCTCTAGCTTCTTTCAAAACACGGGCTTTGTGTTTGATGCTAATGATTGTACGTTTTTTCCTGTGATATCAATGATAACCCTTTGAATCTGCGAATAATCATCTCTGACCTCCGGTCTTTTGCTACATACAAGCGTTTTTTATATGCACCAACAAAGATAACTGAATGTTTTGTTGAGTTTTCTATTTTTAAGTCTCTCTGAGTAAAAATATCAATGTAAAGGTTATCAGCTTGTGTGGATCTCGCGTATTTTCTTCTTAGGATGTCAGCAGAAATTCAACAAGCCGAAGAAAAATCGATACGAGAACTTCTCTCTGAGCGTTATAAGGACTACTTAAACCTTTCAGATGCGGATCGAATTCGCTACGTTAATTTTTCAAAAGAACTGAGCGCTGCATTACATGGTGATGATCCATCATCCTTAAAAAGGACGATTGGTAATCACATCTTTTCTGATCCTGAAAAGTTGATTCGCATGAAATTACTAACTTTTCCTTTGCCACCAAATGAAGAATTAATGGTGCGCCGGGTAATGGACAGTTGTCCATTTAAAGCTCTGTTAAGCTGCTTTGGAGGTTCATTCAACTTGAAATAACCACTAAATAAATATATAGGTTTTGTTTTGGGCGGTATCTTTGGGTTGTTTTCGGCCAGTGTGGACCCAATGAGCACAGTACATGGTGCGGAAATTCCAACTACTCGTCAAGTTATGAAGGAAATGTATTCCCGTTCATTATCACATGCCAAGAGTTTTGCTATGATTGGGACACTTTTCGCTGGTACTGAATGTGCTCTTGAGAGTGTAAGCTATGTTATGGCTTTGTGATATTGGTTTTTTAGTACCGTGGCAAGAGTGATCTTCTGAATAGTACATTGTCAGGTGCAATCGTCGGTGGTGGGATAGGTTTTCGAGGTAATTTTGTGTATATGTGATACTCATTTAAATTTTACTAGCTGGTTTACAAGCCGGTCTTTTGGGAGCTGCTGGTTTCTCAATATTTTCTACTGCCATCGATTACTATTTTAGACACAAAAACTAGTCGTTCTTGACTCAGTACTTGTACAGTTGTAGTAAAATATAATGAAATATTGCACAGAGTTTCTTTTCATTTTGCCCTGTTTATTCCGTTCGTTTATCAAGTGTTTGTTTTCAGATAAATCACGGTCGTTTGTCGGAGATGAGTCATAAAATTAAGTCGGAAGTCAGCTCATATTACAAACACGATAAGGTTACTGTAAATCGCCGCAAAAGTTCTAGCATTGATAGTAACGATGATAAAATGTCTTACGTCAGTCGGTCGTCTAATCATAAACATAGCAAGACTAAATCTCATAGTTCGACTAAGTCAACAACCCATTCAGAACATAAGACATCCCACCATTCTTCCAAAAAGAAAAGAAAAAAGCATAGGAGGTCATCATCTAACTCATCGTCCTCTTCATCATCATCGTCGTCATATGACAATCGCTCTGATAATGGAACCACGAAGAAACATACATCATCAGCCGCTGTTCCCAAGGAATTGTTATCTCTTTCACTGGAAGAAATACAAAAGATTAGTGAGGAAAGGCGACAAAAGAAGGTAGGCAGTTATCATACATTTCTACAAAATTTTTTTCATTAGTAAGATTGACTAAGGCTATATATGTATTCAGTTGATTAATGTCATTCTTAGTAGTTAGCTAGGCAGTATAGATCACTTATTCCCCGACACTACTTGAATACATGGTGAATTAAAAACTATCACGATTCATAACTTCATAATGTATGCAGAAATGAAGCGCAAATATTTTAAGGAATATGTACAGTTTGATCACAACAAAAACAATGAGCGTAGCAGAATATATGAATTCATTTTATCTTGTAGTTTCTCTTCAGCCGCTTACAACCTCATATCATAATATCGGAAAATATTTCGTCAGTAGAGAACGACAAAATGAGCAATAATTCATTCGCACTTATTGCTCTTTTCATTCCGACCACAAAATACCTCCTGCAAAAATAAGATGTTTACGCTAGTTTTTTAATGCATCTACCAAAACTAATTTGCTCTTGTGAAGGTTGAGAGTGTAGATCTTTCACCTTCGTCGCCAATTGTTATGTTCTTTTGGCCTGTTAATTATCAAGTTATTTTACCAGATACGGGTTGTTTTAATGAGCCATATATTTTTGATGAAATTTCTTATAAATATGAGAACAATGTGTCGAATGAATCAATCCGTGATCGAAAATCTGATGCGATTTTGGTAGGTGCTGGTTTTTCTAATGATTCATTATTCAGCAATCAGATCCTTAATAAAATTGAGGAAAATATTTCAGAACAATCAAATCCTGATGTTGTCATATTGAATGTTATTTGTCAGCATAATGTATTTGTTTCTGGTGGGAAACTTGTTCAACGTGAAGCGCGATTCCTAAATGAGCTCGAACTTAATTACAGTTCGGATGATTTCATATCATCCGTCGTTTATTCTTCTAATGCAGTCAGTTCTAGTGGATTCTTTAGTAAATGTAAGAAATATGCTTCAAATAAAGCTACCTCATTTCTAACGTGGGTTTATGAAGATCTAACAGTTTCATGGGGGAGGATAATGTCGGAAAATCAGAATTACCTATTTTGATCAGAATATGATTTTATGTGGAAACAGGCAAAACCATGTGAACACCCCCATTTCTAATGCTTCAAAAAAAGGGAGGTGTTATATCCAGACAGAGAATAGGTGGATAGTAACCGCTGGGATCTATTTGTGGACTATTGTTATGTTTATATTCTTGTTGTATAACTATTAAGTAACTATATTATATGCATATTCATATTCCTTTTATTATAAGCTTTTATTTAACGTACTGACTGTTATTATAAGATTTAATATTCTTAAGATATTTCCGATTTATTGGTAACAGTCTCTCACAATCACAGCCACTTTTTGGCCTGATCCTTTATAATTGTTATTTTTCATTTTATGGTTTAGTGCGATGTGGTTTGTTTGCATAATAACCCAGTATGTCTGAAATATATGATTCGTATGGCGGAGGCTGATGTTGGCGTTCTGGACTGAGTCGGCTGGATTAGGAGAGAAGCTACTATTTCGGAGGACCAATAGGAACTCTAGGCTGCTCGTACTAGTTTATGCGTCATTATTCTGGTCTTATAATTCGAGTCTAATTGGCGATCTTATCACGTGATATACTACCGGACATAAGAACATAACAAGGTGGTTTAGTAGTTAAAACATTACGCTAGCCGGTTCAGAACTTGTTCCATCTGTTTATGTTTAGGGGATTTGATAGTGTCAATGGTTCCTACAGTGATTGTGTGGCTCCAAGCTGTGTATTTAATCTTGCACTTGGTAGCTATGTTTCAGACTTTAATATATGATATTTCAATTGTTTACGGAGGTATACCTTTCCTTAAGCTGCGGATACGAAGGTTAAATTCAAAATTATAACCACTGACATCTAAGACCAAAATATGCTGTATTCTGTGTTAGCGCTTCAGTCGACTCTTGTTACATATCAATGAACTGTCCAGTTTTCCTTAGATTCACTCGTTTTTACCCTTCCATTTTTCTGTATTAGTACGGAAATAAGGTGTACTTTATAGTGACATGCATGATTTTGTACACACTTTTACTGGTTAATTTTACTAAAACGACTACGGCCAGTGAACGGTGTTGCAAGCATTATCTATTAAAAATACTACTACCATATTATTATATGCTACAATGAATGAACAAAAAATGCATTAAAAAACCAGTGTAAATATCTTATTTTTGCAGGACGTATTTTGTGGTCGGAATGAAAAGAGCAATAAGTGCGAATGAATTATTGCTCATTTTGTCTTTCTTCACTGACGAAACATTTCCTGATATTATAATATGAATATGTAAGCTTTTCAGACTGCAAATGGTTTGTTTTTAAATGGGATAAGTTCGAAATTATTAGTCTTTGAGAACACAGGTTGAATGTTTACTAGGGAATATTAAGCGTATGATATATGCGTTGGACTTATATTAAGCTTTTGTTTCGTAACAGCTCTGTTAATTTACAGAATATTTAGTCCGTTCTTGTTTAGACCTCAACACCTATCCTAATCACTAGTAATCTGGGTGTACATCTTTGCATTTTATTTACCTTATTTTCTAATGATAGTAATTAGATCATTTCAGAAATGTCCTATAAGAAACACATATTATCATTGGTTTTAATTGTTTGTGAACATAAGGTTATAAGAATCTACGTTGGGAGTCACATTGCATTCATCACTAGAATTCAGACAACTTGCTCTCAGATCCTAACCCTGTTCCATGTATTTCGGTTTATATAACTGATTAGTATCGTTAGCTCTCACAATTAGTGTGACTCGGGGCCAAGTAAATGAATCTGTACCTGTTAAATAAAGAAAATAAAATGAGAATCGAAGACCGTGGCTCTACAAGCTTAACTCTTAAACAACAATCTTGCAAACTATCTTTCATAGTTTTTCTGTATTTAATAAATCTAACTCACAGCTTTGTACATAACCCTGTGGATTGTCTAAAAAGTTAGTCTTATTTGTGGATAATAGTTTAACTTATTTTGTTCGATCAGTATAGCGTGACAAAAACGGTCTGTAGACAAAAATTATAAGTCTGTTGCATTTGAAGATTATTTCCTTGTTATTAATTATTTTTTTCGTTAAATGTTCTAAGGCTTTGATAAAAATCCTGGAAACACCAGAAGAGAAACGAGCTAGACGTTTAGCTAAAAAGGAAGCTAAAGAACGTTGGAGACGTGAACGAATGGGATGGGATAAAGAGTATTTAGGTTATACAAATGAAGATAATCCATTCGGTGATCATCATCTTTCTGAATCATTTGTTTGGAAACGGAAATTAGAACGACAAGGATTGTCACATTTATCCAAAGAGGAGGTAGGTTTTAAACTTCCTGTTCTTTAGAGATAGTAGTTTTTAAAACAGCTTTATTCTATTCGCGCTGATTACCTCTCGATAGTTAATTAAATATTGTTTCTCAGCCAATTCGAACTTTACATCAGTTAACCATAAACGACTTTAGCGTAAATTTGCAGACACAAATTGACAGAATTCACATGAATATAATGAGAAATTAGGAAGAAAATCATGAGTCAAAATAATAATACTTATAATAAAATAATGGTATGAGCTAAACATAGAGAATATGGTTAGATGATATCGAACAAAATCACGGGATAAGAAGCATAAAATAATATTAAGATCGAGCGTGTAATAGAAGATAAAAGGAAAATGTATACAGCTATGCCACTGCAATTGATTTTGAGCCATTTCACTCACGGTCCTCAACTGTTAACTGAAATTGCTGCACCGACTCGGACCAGGAAGTTTGCATCTTACTATATAGCTCAATCCAATAATCAATGGTCTTATGGAATGATCTCATGTTATTATTCAGTCACCTCTAAACATCTTTCAGTTTCGGTCCGTTAGTCATAAGCAACATAGAGCCTGGTATATATACGTAATACATTTGTCAACCACTTTAGCTGTTAAAGATCCTTTCACCCTACTAATATCCCACCGACTATTATATATTTATTGAAAAAGAAGTGTAAATCAGTGACTTATTAAGATGCTTTTATTAAGATATAGGTCCTGTTGATTTTTCATATATCACACGATAAAGCACCGGTAAAGATTCTCGTTGACACATTTTCGAATAGTCTAAACCCAACTATTAGCGTGATCTGTTTATTCTTAAACTGCATCACATCGTCTTATTAAAAACCCATTGCGTGTAACCCATCTACCATATCCATGTCCATACTTAAGATCTATGTCTAAAGTATGAGCTCTAATGATACTATCTGTTCATTTAGATTTCTACATAAAGTGCGGTTATGAAGAACAGATGACTGAACCATATATTTGCCTTGATTTTTAGTGTAATCAATTGAAAAGCCTAGAATTCCGGTTTCTGCTTGTTAACACGGGAAACTGTTCTTTTTCAGCTATTCAAACCCAGTTTATTGAACATCATGGTTAGGGAGATTATTTCTATTTTTCTTAGGTGATCGTACCACGTATGATACTTAATCTAATGTAACCACGCAAACCTATAATTTTCATTATTTTTGTTAAATGTTTAAGTATTTTGTTCTGTTTCTTCACTTACAATCACTCAATTGTTTTTCAATACCAACCTAAACCTAGCTTCAAGTCTTACAAAAAAAGAAAATGCAAGAGAATAAAATGGAATTGGAAGCTGTTCGACGTAGACGTATTGAAAGAGAACGAGAACGTGAACAGCATGAAAAAGAAATGGAAATGATGCAACGAGATAAAGAAGCAGAATATTATCGATCATGGGAACAACAAGAAGACCATTTCCATTTACAACAAGTATAATATATGCTTATATTTTAAATAAGTAGTTATTTTATCCACTGCAAAAATATGTATGTAGATATATTCTCTTATTTTTACGTACAATAGTTTCTGTAGTATTATGCTTCTGGGATACATTTGATGAATCCAGTCGTGTATTCTGTTTTAATGTGTAGCGATTTAAATGTATGTTGATGATTATTTTTCATACTTGACTAACTTTATTGCATGATTTTTTACTGAGTGATAAACTAAAATTGGCGTGTCAAATATTTATCTTGTTTTAGTTATTTAAGATATCTTTGTGCTCAACAACCTTTTTTTAATTTGCTGGACTAAGATGGTAGCAAATAATCCGAGCATACCATCAGTGTTGTATATGTTAATCACTAATCCTTTGTAAGACAATAAAACCTAATGTTCATTATTTTGTGTATAGATAAAATCATTCCTACTCTAGTATGATATGTCTCAGCAGTGCACATCTACAGTCCCTTTAGGCAGAAACCGCCAGGCCTTCATTTTTCATAATGAGTATGTAGTATGTAAGTTCACTAAACTGGAATCATATGACCTATAACTGCGATCAGTTCTTAATAATACGGCACAATAATCATTTATGGGTCACGATGGTGGGTAAATTCCTCGCTCTTGGTATTGATATTGAACTTCACTAGTTGTTATGATTGCTTACTACAAATTCGGGAATGCATGTTGGAGCCAGTTGGTTAGCGTGAGCACACAATGACTTGCCAATTGGTATCAATGCGTGATAAAAATAATCTTCCCATTAGGTTTAAACAACGTAAACCTATCAATCAAGCATAATTAATTTTTTGGGCGGTCGGAGGTAGTCAGCAGGGAATTCAAGATCCAGGTCTCATACTAGTCGGACACGGTTAACAAGAATTATCTAAAATCTTAAGGGAACTGGTACTCCCTGCTGTATTCGGACTCGCATAACCCAGGCTCACAAACTTAGACATCACCACTGAGAGTTATTTGGGCCTCAACCAACTTTCCGTGGGACTGAAATCTTTAAAATTTATTCACCACTGATATGGTGTTTGTCTAGTCGTTTAGTACTGGTCGAATTCTATCAATCAAGTGGCAATGTGGCAATTAGTCTAAGTGACTTAGCATCACTTGCAGTATGTTGATATGTTAGGTAGTTGAAACTAGCCGATAGGATACTCTGAACCTACGTTTGGTTCTAGTTGGCATTCCTCAGCAAAGCATACCTGCAAAAATTAATTTCTGTTCACTTTCTTTCTAAAATAGAATAGAACAAGATCTTATATTCATTTGGTTTCTAAGACGTAAACACATTATTAATTTTAAGAAACTAATCAATTCTAAATTAATTTCAGAGACTTCAGCGGTTC